GCTTCCCAAAATCCTACAAATCCATGCCCTGGAACCAATGGGTTTATTCCATCCCCTCCCGCTTTGTCTCCGGCTGTTTCCTCTCCACTGAGAGCTTCCCCTCTCTGGAGAGGAGCCTGGGGAGGGATAAATCAAATCCTCCAGGAATTCTCCCCCGGGAAGGGCTGAGGACAGAGGGGAAAATCTGTATTTTCCCAAAAGGCCAATGTGAGCCCTTGGGATGGGTGATGGGGTTCGAGGGCAATGAGCAGCCAAAATTTCGGAGTAATGCCAGGCAGGACCATCCCAACCCAGCCCATGGGAAAATGGATCAGCTCCCTGGGCCCAGCGAGGTCTGATCCCAAAAATACACTCCTGGCAGGATTTTGGGAGGGAGGGTTGGACAAGATTTAACACCAAAAACCCTCACGGGGGGATTCCTGCTTTGGGAGGAGCCGAACCCTGCAGGATTTGGGATGGAGAAGCTCACAGAGCTCCACCCTCACCCTCCCCGGGTATCCCAAACCTTTGTCCGCCCCAGGAACGGGAGCTGGGGCCGGGCATGGATCCCGCAGCTCCTCCCGCAGCTCCTCATTCCCCTCCGCAGCCCGGAGCCCTCCCTGACAGCCGGGATGACAAACGGGCTCGTTCCAGAGGCATTCCCGGGGCCAGGCAGAGCTCCTTGCAGGGGCCATAAACCCGGAGATATTTCCTCATTCCCCAGGGCTGGATCCGTGATTTTATGTCTGGATTAATTTTAACTAATCCTCAGCAGTGCGGGGACTCTGCCACGGAGAGCAGCTCGGTCCCACTGGGTGGTTTTGTCTATTTTTAATGAAAATGTGGAGGTTTTTGATGGAAAAATGAACCCAGCAGCTCTGGCCTGTGACAATTCGGGGGATTTTGGGGAATGTCCTACATCCCTCACCAGGGCGGCTCCTCCAACACCTCCCCTTCCACCCCGAGTGAAAACACAGCTCTGGGAAGAGCAGATTTTGGGGAACCCTCCGGCCTCCAAACCTGCTCTGTTCCAGGAGCACCAAATCACCCAGGAACAGATTTCCCGGGATTTCAGCAGCTCCTCACCTCCCCTGAGAGCCCAGCCCCAAACTGGGGGTCCCGGACCACCCCAAGCACCTTAAGCAGGGACAGATTTGGGATGGGAAGGGATCCCTGCTCTCCTGTCATGCTGCAGAGGGATGCGGGGGATTTTAAAGCAGCTGGAGATGGATTTCGTGAGCAGGGAAATAAAAGGGAATAGGGAATAGGGAACAGGGATGGGAGCTGTTCCCGAGCTCCCGCAGTGCCCCGGAGCAGCGAGAGGTGTTTATAAATAAAAGCAAATGAAGCAGCCGCCAGACAAAGCCGATTCCAGGCGAGAGCAACAGTCCCCAAAGGGAAGATTTATCCAAGGTCTTTCAGGAGACACAATTAAGTGAGGGCAACGCGAGAGAGGCGATAAATCCAGGGAGACAAATGAAGGGCGAGGAACATCAGCCCTTCAGCCTCTCCCCCCCGGCACTTCCAGCTCCCGGCCTCATTTTCTCCTCCAGCAGGGAAAGAAACCATTTTAATGTACCCAAGACTCGAGAAAAACTGAGCGGGGGGAACTTCAAACGTGATTTCTGTTGCCTGAGGGCTCCATCCCTCTTTTTCCCCGGCTGATGTCTCCCGGTTAACAAGGGCACATCCAGCTTTTCCAGCCCCCTTTGATATTTAATAGGCTGAGCTCCACCATGCAGGGGCTGCTTTCCATTAGGAAATCCCAAGCCCGAGCGCAGGGTTCGTTCCGAGCCTCCCTCCCCAGCTCGGCACCGCTTTCCTGGTTTTGGGGTTTTGCTGGGAGAATCCCCGTCCCTCTCCCTCCCTGCCCGGCTGGAATTGTTCAAGGGACCCCGAAACGCCGCAGGTTTGTCCGGGGAGGGCGATTCCCTCCCCAGCTGGAGGATGCAGGCGCGGAGCACTCGGGGTGGATTTTATAACGGGATTGATGATTGATGATCCCGCTGCGCTCACGGGAGCTCTCCAAAGTGACTGAAGGGTCTTTAATCCCTCTGTTTTTCCCTCAGTTCTGCCAAGAACTCGGTTTAAATAAACAGCTCTGGGAGCCGCGTCGGGTTCTGCAAACAGGGAGCAAAAATGGGTCTGGGGGTGCTGGGAGGGGGCTCAGCCTTCCCCACGTCCCCAGGGCAAAGGGATTTTAGTCAGGCTTTGTAAAATTCGGGATTAAGCAGTGCCGAGCAGCTTCCCTGTGTTTGGGGAGAGCCCCACAACACCCCCAAAACTGGAGAATCCAACCCCAAAGTGCCAAACCCAGAAGGGAGTGAGGGGTCTAGGGGGGCTCAGCATCCCAGCTGGTCCTGGTAGATTTTGGGCATCCCAAACTGAGGACAAGGGGCTGCCCTCTCCTCCCCTGGGCAGCCCTGAGGGGAGGTGACCTGGCAAAACCAGGATTTAATGCCTGAAACAACAGGGTCTGTCCCCCAGAATTGATATTTATACATGAATTTGGCAAAGCGTTGGATTTCCTGCTGGATGGGAAAGGGAATTTCAAGGTGGCCCATCCCGAAAGGAAATCCCCTGGGAGATGCTCAGCACCCTGAGCCAGCCCCGGCAGCTCCACGGCCTCGAATTTGGGGCTGTTCGGTGCCCGAGGAGAGGCAGGAGGAGCCCTGGTCCTGTCTGGGGACAGCGGGGCCGGGGTCCCACGAGGCATCCCCGGAGCTCCTGGCTCTCACTGTCCTCTGGAACTTTCTGTTCCTGCTCTGCGGGAAGTGTTGGCGCCTCGTTAACCCCACTCCTCCCATTCCCGATTCCTCCCAGCCCCAAAGCTCTGAATTTTGGATTGTTCCCGTCTCAGCATCCTGAGCTGAGTCCATCAGATTTCCCCACACAGTGCAGGATTCCCGCGGATCCAACGGAATCACGGATCCCATCCCGAGTGCAGAGCTCTGGGAGAGGAGCAGGGGGAAGCCAGGCAGGACACGAGGCCACCCCAGGGCAGGGCGGCTTTGACACCTCAGCAAGGCCAGGATGCGATTTGGGAATAAACCAGATTTTTAAAACCCCGTTTTGAACCTTTCCCACCCCTGCTGAGTGGGATCAGCTCGGGAACCGCCACGTCCTCCTGCTCTGGGGTCTGGTCTGGTGGGACAAACCCCTCATCCCCAGAGCGCCAGGGGGGTGGCCGCGATTCGCAGTGGGTGACACGATGGTGACACGGCAGTGACACGACGGTGACACGGCCACACGTACCCGGCTCAGTGCGACGCCGACATGGACCAGGCGCCCTCCATCCTCCACACGGAGAAGGCGTAGCTGAGCCTCTCGTGGGCCAGGAAGTTGCAGCTGGTGGCGACCTTGTGGTCCAGCTCGTCGCTCTGCAGCACCTGGCACAGGAAGTCGATGTAGCGAGCGGCCAACTTGAGCGTCTGGATCTTGCTGAGCTTGTCCGAGGGCAGCGTGGGGATGATCTT